GGGGGGGGGGGGGGGGGGGGGGGGGGGGGGGGGGGGGGCGGTTGTCCTACAAAACTAGATGAGTAAGTAACGCCATTTGGTATTGGTATTGGTGTTGCCGTGGTCTAGAGCTGTCGTGGCTACCCCCAGGAACTGTTGTTGTGCGGATGGAGTTTCTTCTTACAGAGCTCCTTCTGCTGAATAGAAGCATTGTTATCTCAAGACCTCACATCCTGGATTCAAGCCTCTCCCGCCAGTTTCTTAGTGGCCACTGGTTTCCAAAGATTTTGAGTGTGCACTATCGGAGCAACTCACCATCTCAGGGCTGCGCATCCGAAGCGGGGCTAGCGGGAAATGTAGACTACACGCAGTGTACATGTTCGTATCGTGAGATTGGGATGGGAGTTTTACCTTGTCAGGATGTACAGCATATCCACTATGCTGCAAGTCAGCGCCGACTTGTATCATAGTGGATATGCTGTACATCCTAACAAAAAAAGTACAACCGGGGTCCTTCAGCTTGTTACAGCTGTTGTTGGACCTCGTTGTCACGATGTCGGTTTTTTGTTGCCTGCCTTTGTATTTGAGAATTTGATACCAAGACCTCATAGTTGGCGATCTGGCTGGCGTGAGAATTCCATAACCAAAGACTTTGGCAGTTTTCCCCTGCCCGCTGCCCAGGTGGTACTTCTGTGGAACAGCCCCCCCATGATAATCTGCGGGGTTCTAAACAACATCGTATTAGAAAAGACTCGAGAAGTTTACACAATACATTTCTTGTCGTTACCCTAGCCTGAAAAACAAAATCTTCACGTCCATGGATGAATGAACGCAGCAATCATGAAGACAGAATTACCAGCGTTCCAAAAACCTACAGCGCAGTGTGATACGGTATTGATGTAGTCTAGACTATCGCTCCTGTGGGTAACAGGTCCAACAAGACATTTTGGTGACCATCTGTTGTACGCGCTGATATAGACTATGTGCTGGGAGCGGGTGCTTGTAGAAGGAAGATGTTGTGTTATGGGGTGCTTTGTTATGCTATGTTGTGTTGTGGGGGTGGAGTGTTTGCGTGTGATTGTCACGCAAACCCCATGCCATCTCCGTTGTTGATGGTGCTCTTTACGAGCGGAAACCAACGTCAAAGCGCCAAAGTAGTGCCCCCCACCTGAGACAGGATAGGCAGGGCGGCGTCGGCACGCAAAGCCTGTGTGCCTGCTGTGGCGTATAGACTGAGCGCTACAAAGCTACAATGCGCATAGCCCGCAGAAAAGAACGAACTGTGGAGGACACCTGTCGGAATAGATGACTAACCATTTGTGCACATACTGCTGCTGTACAAAGTGTAGGAAGATATGATGCCTCAGGGTAACTTGCCGTCGGGAGAAGTAAAGAGCCAGTAAAATACCGAGGAGATGATTCGTCTCTTCGGAAGTCCATGACCGATTGCTGAGGGAAGAGATGGGGAGCCTCCGGCTCTCCTCTCTTGACCCTCTGGTCACTCTTTTTCTGCTTTCTACCCCTCGTTACACCTCACGAAAGGAAATAGCCACCCTTGGCAGTGGGAGAATACTGCAAGAGTACCGGCCTCTGTCTCCGACAGGGACTAGTAACGTCATTGGCGTCGACGAGAACCGCAACAAAAAATACCAAACGCAATCAAACACACCGCACCTCGATGCCGTATGTACCGCCGTAGTGCACGGAGTACGCGGAGAATGCTAAATTTCGGGGGGCAAGTACCGGTGTTGCGCTGCTCTTGGCTGATCTCTGTTGTGGATGAAAGGGAACCGAAAGCAAAGCTGAGGGTTTCACTGCTGTGGCAGCGGCAGAAGCGGGCAATGCGATGACTGTTGAGTCGCCTTCGTCGGCAGCTGCCGTGACAGAGACTCATGGAGCAACAATACCTTTCGAAAGCAGCAATGATGTCATCAGAGAGGGGGCGCCACCGAGTGATGCAGCAGACGACGCGCTTGCCAGAGAGGATGAAAACCACACCGGAACAGAGGTGAGGGCTCTGGGTTTCAGTGACACACAGCTACAAAGCTGTACCTTGAATCTACTTTGCAATCCTGCGCTCGTTTGGGTAACTCATCTCGATCATCATGTCGAAAAGATGCCAGCATACAGTAGTTCAACCACGCAGGTGGTGCCCAGCACAACCTCTTTCAATCCCACGGCGACCGCCGTGGAACCGGCGTGGTATATACTCAAGAGATGTAGAGCAGACGTTTCTCGCAAGTCCTTCACATCCGTAGACTGTACAGAAACAGCAGCAGCTATTATTCCAAGTCCAAGCCTCTCAGGCCAAGGGAACACACGTCAAACAAGGGCTTCATCGGCCTCTGTATTCTTACATTTTTGGTGTGTAATGAAACCTACTGCATGCCTCTCCGTCACGTGAGCCCAATGAACGTACGTCAGACTATAGGTGGTAGCGTAGTACTGCTTTTTCTCTCGGCGCTGTGCGTCATCGTCTTTTCCCACACAGCTCGTCTCTGCCATAATATTCACCTCTCAGACATCCCCATATTGAGCCGTGCTACAATATGGGGTACACCCCAGGTGAATGCAGGGCCTTTAGCCACAATAAATGCCTGCGTGCTCCACCCAGGAATGTCGTTGAGCAAACTGATTTGCCCACCCCCTACGCAATCACTCCTCCGGTGAGGTACCAAACTTTCAAGGTGTTGAAACGAGGGAGATATGGGCAGATGTATTGAAATCCCTGCCAAAACAAAGGTGCCCTCCCTATCGTGGCACAGGTAAATTCTGCACATATCTCAATCTGGACGCACCATCGCGCTTCCATTGCCCGTTCTTCGCTCTTGTCACAGATAAACCATGCGGTAGCCAGTACGGCGTTAGAGGCACAGGCAAGCAGCGCCGTGGAGTTGCTCGCGACCAACGCGAAGCCGGTCGATTACAATCATCAACCACAGCACAGTCAGACACAGGAACACCTTGCTCCTGACATACCTGAGGGGATTTTATTGTTGGGGCCGGAGGCCACGGAACAGCCGGATTACGCAAAGACTTCGGGTCCAGACGCGGGGCAAGAGTCAGATGGCGAAGGAGCCGCGAGTAGCCTTGCTTCTGCCGCCTCACCGAGCGAGTCCGGGACTGCTGGGTGTGAAGAGCTCCCGTCTGCGACGACGGGACCGAGCGACGAAAAGCAGCTAGAAGAGCAGAATTTCAGCAATGACGACGGTGTGGATTCGTGCAGGCATAAGGAGGTAGCTCTTTTCGACAAAGACGACGGCGGAGGCTCGCCGTCTGAGGGGCCATGTTATCGTGAAAGTGTCGCCGGCGACTCTGAAACGCAGTCTCCTGCCATCGAGGGTGAAGAGGACAACTCTCCGGCACAGAACGACGTTTCTGCAGCTCGGAATCGATGCGATAACGCCAGAGAGGTATCAGCAGGCGCGGATAGTATGGGTACGAAGCAGAGTCCCGCATCTGGCAACGGCGACTCCGCCCGCTTGACACATATCACATCGTCGGATGGTGTGGAGGAAATGCATCCTCTGCAACCACCCACCAGGCACGATCTGCAAACGTCGTGTGGCTGTGCCAGTCCTGAGGCGGAGGCTGCAACAGCGGGGAAGGACAGCGTTCAATGTTGCGGTGGAGGCGATGAAAACCTCCGAGGTTTCTTGCTAGTTTCTGGCGACGCGCAACACCTTGTGGAGGGCGCTATCTCGAGCAGCCTCGCTGCATTCGCGCGGGACAAGTTGCACCAACCTGAACTTCCTGTCGAGACGAATGTACCCGGTGGGGCGAACGCGTTGAGGAAAACACCGCCGATGGGACAGGAAGTTAACAGCAAGGAAGTTACACGTCCGTTGCCCACCGATTCTCAACAGGACGAGCCCGTGCCGTCTCCAGATTCATCGTTGTGCAAACCTCTCCTCGTTGAAGTCACCGAAGATTTAATTTCTCGCGTTTGCGAAGAAGTGGCGGCAAAGGTGGCAGCTGCGGCAGCGGAGGCGTCCACGGACGTGGCGGTGCCGGAGGTGGCGACAACCGCGGGAAGCTTGGACTTGATGATACAGCCTGAGGTTGACTTCCCGAGTGACAGTCCGTCAGCATCCGAAGGCATGCCTGCCGATGGCGCTATCAAGCCGCTAGGTGGAGCTCGGCCGGACTTTGGTCAGTTGTCGTTGGGAAGCAAATCACCAACGAAACAGGCGGAAGCTATGGACGACGATCGAAAGTCGGCCGGTGTACACACGGCGGAAGTATCGGGGGCAACAGGGGACGACCAGGAAAAAGCGACTGCACCGACCACCCCAGCGCCGGCAAATAATACGCCGCCGCGGCTTCATTCTTTCTCCTCCCTCCACGGTACGGTTGTGGAAGAGTACGCGCTGCACGAGATACCCAAAATACTGGCTGCAGAGGTGGTTAATGCTGCCATTGCTGCCGTTATTCCTATTTCGTCGAGCGCGTGCGAGCCTGCGGGTGTCACGACCGCACCTTCTCCGAGTGAATCGGGAGCAAAGACCGGCACGGAGGCCGCCATCAAAACCGACAGCCTCACAGCCGTCCAGGATCCCGCTTCCGACCTAGCGGCAAGCTCGACCATCGTCGAGCAGGATTCAGCGGAGGCGTGTCTGGACGGCGGAGGCGACCTAGTTGGTAGTGTCGAAGACAGTCTCGCAGTCGGCCAGGACTCCTGTTCCGACCTAGTCCTAGAGGCACGCTCGACCATCGTCGAGCAGGAATCGGTGGAAGAGAGAGAAGCGCGTCCGGACGATGGAGACGATGTAGTTCGTATCGTCGAAGAAAACCCTTGCGGCGATGGATCACGCTCACCGACACCGCCGAGCGCTCGCGAGGGAGAAGGGACGAGCACCATTGACCCAAAGCCTGAGCGGGAGGCGCCTTCCCGCGAGGGATCGACTGTTGGTGACCGCCAGCCTCGTCACGATTCTCGGTCCGCAGAGGCGCTTATCTATCTGACTGAGGCGGGGTCGCGAGCCAAGTCTCGCCAGCAGAGGTCTAAGGAAACTCGCGTCGACGCGTCCTCTTGGCTTCGAGACGCGGGGGGCAGGGCGCTTGCCGCCCAAGGAGAAGGGGAGGCGGAGGGTTTGCAACATGCGGTAGTAGCAGTGTACGTGACAACAGCTCTACAAAGGATTGTAGCAGAAGAGGTGGTCGCAGTTGCTGGCATTGCCCCCGTTTCGCCGAGCACATGTGCGCCTGCAACTACGACCGGAGACCAGACGACACCCCGTGTACCTCCCACGCTCGATACGGGGACACCCGAAGGAGACCGGTTCAGCAACACCGGGCCGGAACTTGATTCTGAGGCGCCATGCTTCGTGCGTTCTGCAGCTGATGGTGACCAATCCCCTGCTCCTGGAAACGTAGACGCCTCGACTTGCTTGGCAGAGGATGGGTCGGGAGCAAAGCGCCTCCGGGAGAACGTTGGGGACAACCGTGTGGACCCTTCTCCGTGGCTCCGAGACACGGGAGGCAGGACCAACTCCCTGCAAAGCGTCGACCAGGCCGCTCTTTTGGAACGTGCGGTCGTGACAGACTATCTCTCGGGCGCGCTGACCAGGGCTGTAGAGGCAGAGGCGGCGACTGCGGGCGCTGCCGCGCATGCCTCGTCTTCGGAACCTTCTAACGGTGGCATGATGGGAAAAGACCAGGCTACACCTGGTGCGCCATATCCGCGTGGTGACACGGAAGACGCCGTTAACGGAGCGGAGATTGATACCAAGGCCGACGACGAAATATCAAGCGGCGAGGATCCTGGTCCCGAACTAGCGATGCACTGCCCTGTTGACGAGGCAACAGCAACGGGCGAGCACGAATCCCCAGACCACGGAGACACCTCCCCCAACGACGGAGACGACCAAAGTGATAAGGCCACAAAAAATGGCTCCGACGTCCTCCAACTACCAACACCGCTTTGCACCCCAGAGGAAGAAGGGTCGAGTGCCGACAAGTCCGAGATTAAGCCGGAGGTTCCCTCGAACGCGGTTCTTACAGCTGACGCCGGCGGATCCCCTGCTCCTCGGCCCACGGAGGCTTTGGCCTACCTGACAGAAGCAGGGGAGCGGGCAAAGAGTCTCCAGGAGGGCTCTGAGAAAGCTCGCCTGGATGCTTCTCTATGGCTCCGAGACACGGCGGGCAAGGCGCTGTCTCGGCAAGCTGTCGCGACAGCTGATCCGTCGACGGAAACGCCACCTGGCACCGTGGCGGCAAAGTTGGCAGCCGCTGCCGCCGCGGCCTCGTCTCCGTCGACGGCGTGTTCGCCACCGACTGATGCCACGGTAGATGCGCAGAGCGTCCAGGCGGCGAGTACGTTGTCTCCTGCGTGTAACCCGGGGTCGCCCGAGAAACAAGAAAGGATCAGCGACGCCGACCAGGAACCTGGGCAGGAGAAGCCATCTGGCGTGGTTTCAGCCACTGTTGGTGCCGTTCAGTCCCCTTCTCGTGGATCCACGGAGGGCCTGACTTGCCTGGAGGAGGGCGGGGAGCGAGAAATGGAAAGCTCCGAAGGCAGGGGCGTCGATGGTTCTTCTTTTGTCCGCGACACGGAGGGCAGGACGCCTTCGATTGAAAACAAAAAGCAGGCCGCGCGTGCTGAATGCGTGGCCGTGGAGGAGGACTTGTCGGAGACGTTGGCTAAGGATGTAGGAGTGGAGGTGGCGGCCACTACCTCCGCCACAGCTGCCCCGTCAACACCTGGGGTATCTGCCCCTGCAAGCGCCGGGAAAGACAAGGCGACGCTCGGTGATTCTGCCCCCCGCGACCCGGGGGCGGGAGACGTGGCTGAAAATGCCGTCGAGGCAGAAGATGTCACCACCACGGTACGTCAAGACTCCGAGTCCGCCCTGCGCCTCTCCATCGTTGAGGCTTTGGCGGTGGTCGGGCAGGGGTCGGCAGGGCAGAGAGAAGTTTCCGAAAAAGGAAGCCAGTGTGTTATCGACACGAGTCGCGAACGCCCGGGCTCACCGACGCCGCCAGGCACCCCGGAGGAAGAGACGTCTCGTACGAGCAGCCTGGGGCTTGATCCGGAGGTGGTGTTCAACCCGGACACCGATCCTGCTGACCGCGGCCAGCCCCCTCTTCCTCAGCCCGCTGATTCCTGCTCGGCTTGCCCGGCAGAGGTAAGGTTGCGAGGAAAAGCCTTGCGGGAAGCTTCGGAGTGGCTCTTCCTTGCCGGGGGCAGGGCGAAGTCCGCTCAAGATCGCGCAGAGAGGGCCCGCGAGGAAGCCTCTTCGTGGCTCCGAGACACGGGAGGTCGGGCAGTCTCCCTGCAGGACAGAGCGGATGGCGTGCGTTCAGGTGCTGTCGCCTGGCTTGCCGCGAGGGGGGCGTCCGAGCTCGAGCGAATGGTCCTGACCAAACGGCGTGTAGAAGACGCAACAGCGCAAGCATCAGCAGCTGAAGTAAAGGGGGAGGAAAACGGCCAAGGGACCGGCGAGTGCAAGAACTTGCAAGGGCCACCCACGCAAGATGGAAGCCGGCGTGGATCACCCTCTGTGAGTAGTCCATCACAACCGCAGAAACCTTCTGCGGCCGCCGCTGAAGCCGAAGAAGTCGTCGCAGGGGCTGCCGACCAAGAGACCACCCGGGAAGCACCATCCCACAACGCCGAGGAAACCGTAAGGGCAAAAGAATACCTCCCCACCGTTGGCAAGGACGACCGTGCTGAAAACATCAACAACACCAGCACTCCCTCGCCGGCCCAGGATCAAACCCTCAACCCTGCGGAAAGCGCCGCCGCCGCCGCCGCCGCCGCTGCCGCCATCACAACAACAAACAACGCCGCCGTGGATCCCACGGCCGAAGTCACCATTGCGCGCACGGCTTCAAGCGATCGGACTGCTCCAGTACCCTGGCAAGAGCCGGTGACCACGCCACTTGATCGAGGGGGCTCGTTTGCCCCGACCGCGGCGGGTCCGATGGATCTTGGCCGCATGCTGTACGCGGGCGAGAAGGAATGGTCCAGGGTTTCCCTCTCGCGGACTCCCCCGTTCGACGCTCTCAACAGCCCGAGCCTCCCGCAACGCTACGCTCCCGTTCGCGGGCGACGTCGACCATTGCCGCCGGAAGCCAAGGCGGAGGCGGTCGCCGGGGTGGGGGCGGGAGTTGGGCCCAACGCGGAAGGGCCGGGGTGGTTCTTTGCACCCCCGGACCAGATGGCGCCCAAGGGGGACGCGTACCGGGGGAGCGACAGCTTCCACAGCGCCGAGGCCAACGCCAGCACGACGGTCCGCGGGGACACCTCCGGGAGCTTCGTCAGCCCTTTGCAGGGCGGGAGCGGCGGAACGGACGATAGTCGGAGGCCGAGGCAACGACACAACGGCGGCAGCGGCGGCGACCACGCGTCAACGCGATGTTTCGACGGTGGTGGTGGTGGTGGTGGAGCTTGGGAAGAGACCACCTTGGTCGATGGCCTCAGCGACGCGATCAACCCTGCGCGGCAGGCGCAGTGCCGGATGATGAACCGGGCGGCAGCGGCGGGGGAAGAGGGAAAGGCACACCTTGGACGGCGGTGGGAAGAAACGGGGACCCCGTCATTTGGTTCGCGGAACACCCGAGGGAGCGGGAATAGGTGGCATAAGAAGGTCGAGCAGTCGCGGCAGTACCTGCGAATGTGGGAGGTTTTTCTCAGCCGGGCCCACCGGCACTTCGACGGGGAGGTGAGTCAAGTTTTGCCGCCGACGAGATGTTTGCTGCGAGCAGAAAAAAAACGCTCTTGTTCAGGCCTGTAGTAGTAGTGATCGTACGACTGACGATCGTTTTTTCACCAGAAATGTTTGGCCATGGTGCCAATGGCGAAATAAATCCCCAGGTTTCATCCTAGTTGTCAAGTGTGAGTTGGCATCTGGAAGAGACCATCGTATCATCGTGCTTGCCGACAGACCAGTAGCGATAAGCCTTGAGATGCATTTCGTCGTGGAGTGTCGGCACTGCTGCGGAGGTTCTTTTTCGCATTGATATGCCGAAAGCAAGCCTAAAGCAGTCACATCAAAGCACTGCCGCCGTCACAAACCTGATTCTCTACCACCACCACCACCGTCAACACGTTCTTTCGTGTTTCCCCTGGCTGCCCTTGTCTTCTTTCTTCTCGCAGGCGGACGTTCGCAAGCGAATGTCCGTGATTCGTCGAGCCCACCCGGACGTGAGCAACGAGGTCGCTTTCGTCGCGCTAGCGCAGTCCCGCGGCCGGTCGTCGGAGGCGGCCGCCGTGCTTCACCTGCCTCGGGCCAAGGACGAGGCCGCCCTGGTCGCCATGATGCTCAACGTGACCGCTTTCATCGGCCTCGCGCGGGAGGCCGCTGAGAGGCGGCGACGGTCGCGGCAGCTCGAGCATCAGCGCCGCCGGATGGAGACGGTAGCGGGAGGAGCGGCGAAACGTCGAGCCCATCACCACCAGGGCAAGGGAGAGCATCGGCAGCCGTCATGGCGCCAGCATGAGCATCAGCAGGAGGAGCGGTACTGTCATCCCGAATATCACCGGCGAGATGGTACTGAGGACCAACAGCGTCTCAACAACTACATGTGCGAGCAGCAGCAGAGGCGGCAGAAGCAGGGAGAAGAACAGCGGAGCGGACACGAATGGGCGATAAATGATGCGTCGACAGGCGTAATCGGCGACGCAGCAGAAAACAGTTGGCATTCACAGCGCAACAAACAGGATTATGGTGCAGAACCAATTTCAGCAGGGGGGGATGCTGGTCGGAGTCGGGGCGAAGCACAGAGCCAGAGATCAGACTCCGCTCCATCGCTGCTGCCGCCCATCGAGGGGTGGCTGACGGAGGGCACGCCGCCGTCCCCGAGCTCCTTGAAGACGGTGCTTTCGACTTCGACGAGCGTGGCTGTCGGGGTGCCAAGCGGGTTCGGCTTGGCATCGGTGGCGGGGGTGGCGTCGAAGCGAGAGGGGGGGAACATCGTTCGAGTCCGCGGCTCAAAGAGCACGAGAAGGTACTCTACGTGTGTGTGGCACCTCGCGCTTGTTCACAGCACGCAACGACAGAAGCAGCAGCAGCAGCAGCAGCAGCAGCAGCGGCGGCAGCAGCAGCAGCAGCAACGACAGAAACGTAGTCACCCCATACATTTAGCTTCTCGAAGTGCGCCGCAGACAATCTTGGGCGTTGTAGCAGCTCCATGTCAAGCGAGAAGCAGCGGTGCGTTTGTTACTGTTTTGGTCAGGTCATGCACGACTCGGGATAACAAGTGCTGCCTATGCATACCTCGCGGTTTCTTTCACGGTGTTCCAAACGAAGAACGTCAGTTTTTTTTATCGCCCGGCCTGGCCTTCCCTTAAGCACTACAGAGGAGGGCGATGCTTCCACAGTCCCTTTGAACGACTGTCAAACCGTGAACTTTTTTTCGCCTTGGCATGATCCCGACAACAAGCAAGGTTTATCAGACACACTCCTTGGTGGCAGTCAAATGACTTTCGACCCCGTTCCCCCCAGAGCGTCAAGTGTTGTTCCAAGAGGGGTCGAAGGAAGAATCAGATGAAAACACACAGAGGGTTGCCCCGATAATGCAACCTTTCCACCGAACCCTCCGTTGTCCCTGCGTTCTGAGCTTCCTCGCACCCCTACTGTCAACGCTTGACTCTTGTCAACCCCCTCCCCCTCCGTCCCAACGCCAAACCTGTCTGTGTGCTTGTCGGTCCCCGTTCGATGAATCGACAGGGAGCTGAGGGCCATGCTGCGCGCTCGCGCTCGGTGGCAGAGTCAACGGATGGCGGAGATGGCGACGCCGGGCACGGAGCAGCGCCAACAGGACGGTTTGGGGGGGTCTGGTCTAGACGCGCTCGCGGAGCGGTTTCTTCGTGAGACCGACACGCTCGATCGCGACAGCAAACATCTCAACATCCGCCTTCGAGGACGTCAGAAAGTCAAGCGAGGTCCGTCAAACTTAAGAGGACCCCACAACGACGGGGAGGGTGGGCGCGGGGAACGAAGGGTATTCGGGAATGGTGGTGGTGATGCTGCGTGGCGTGGTGGTACCGGTGGCGACGGAGTGGGTGGTCGTGCTGGCGATAGAGGTGGAGGTGACAGCGGCCGGAGGCGACCATCGTTGTCGTCGTCTTCGTCGTCGATGTTCTTGGCGTCGGTAAATCGCAACCCGAATGCGCCATTCATGTCGCCTGAGACGCCAGCAGCGGTAGTAGTAGTCGACGGAGCGAACGGGGTGTGCTCAACGTCGTCGTTCGCTGCCGCCGCTGTTTTGGATCCTGCTACGACGGCGGCGGCGTCAGCCGCTTCTTGTGCGGTCGAGGCTGACGGGGGTGAGGACAGAAGGAGCTGTCGGGAGCAAAGCTATTTTACGCAGGCAGGGGGTTGGAGATGAAAGCCTGTGTGGGGCCACTAGGGCGCACGGTGAAGAAGTAAGTGATGGGGTATTTCTTCGCAGTGTATCCCCAAATAACGTAGGATACCGCTTGGATTTACTTTGTCGTTCCGTGCAAGATTGGGAGGAGCAAACGTACTACATGTATTGTATTTATTAGTTCGTTCACACCGCCCGGGATCTTACTGGTGATAAGATCGACTCCGAATGCCTCCCTCCATGTACTACAACGACAAACAAAGTCATACCTATAGTTGAGAATATTTTGTCAGCTGGATATTGAATAACGTTCGTCACCCACGCGGCACAACCTGGAGCAGCAGTTAGTTGGGGATGGATGTAGAGTCAGCTTTTTTGTTTCTTGTAGGGGAGATGGACTTGTCGTACAGAGTTCCCGCCGATCAGGGCTGACTGATGTCTGCACCAAGAGGGATGTTGCAAGATGAAAGTCTAATTGATTGATTCTGTAGACCATGGGTGGGGTTGATAGCGTAAGCCAAATAATTGTACTTACCGTGAAATACTTCACGACGGCATGGATTAATTTTGATGATTCACAGGCCTTGAAAACCATCTATCTTCACACAAGGGTGGAACTCGACGTAGCAATATCCATTGCTGTAGAACTGCAAAGATGTTGATGGTTTTGCATGCAAGTCCGTTGTGAGAGTGGCTTGTTCTGTGTATGTGTTTGCTCTGCGCCCATTTTCAGACCCCGAGGACGAGAGTTAGCTTTTGTACAGCTGCTACGGCAAGCAGAAACAAACACCTTGCTGCCTGATCTACGTGGCTGAAAATGTTATATACGACACCGGTGTCGTACTTCCTTATATACGACACGTACCATTTCTTGGCCCACAGGGCTCCAATCGGCGTACAACAAAATGCGCTGTGTAGCCACGGCCCGCAGCTATCAGCCCATACCATTTTGGGTCAAATCGGCCAAGTGGTTGCGGAGAAAGAGCCGAAAATAGGGGGCTCCGCAACTTACCGGGGGGGTGTCAGCGACGTTCCGGTCATAACTCCTTGCACAGACATCGCCTGATCGCACGTAAACTCGCGATGAGTACGTACAGGCCAGAGCTATCGTTCAAGCCG